AGTTCTGATTGTTTTTTGGGTTTTTTTTTTCGTTATTCCGACGCAGCTTCTGATTTCTGTGTCACAATTTCCCTTATTTATTACAACTCTATCCAGATAAACGAATTTCTGTAATTGCTTGATTATACCATCCCCAATGTGTATCTCACACAATGAACTGTCTCTTTTGCTGACAGCTATGCATTCTGATTTCTTACAGCATATGGTTAGCATATTCTTAACTTTCCAGTTCAAAGTTTTTCATTAGATCCTTCATTTTTTCCAATGTCTGAACATGTGTCGTCTCTACCCTATAAAAAGGAAAGCATGTGGAAAAAAAATGCTTCTATGATGAGCGTCACATCCTCAAATATCATCTCATAGATTTATAAATATATCCACAACTATTTATGGTGTCTACTATCGGAATAATGTTCTCATCTTTGCCCCAACGTTTCTTGCCGTAGTCTCCCGGGATTTTCTCAGGTGCTGGTCCATCTAAACAGCCTGCATATAACTTGGGACTGACCCATTTATTTAATCTATGTGGGAGATCCGCTGTTCATGACGACGGACATCTTATCTTGCTAATTAGTACTGTTTAATTTTGCTCGCTCAGTACTCATTGAATCTGATTCTGTACTAAATAAACGAGGGATTGAATTACTATGTCATAAAACAGGAATCAACGTTTTAATTCTTTAGACTATTGATATATGGGACAATCAGACAGAATTACATCAGTGAATTTTTAATAGTATTAACTAGCTATTATATTGATTTTCTAAGCGAAGCTTAGATGTGGCACAACGCCGAACGTATGAGTCACCGAGTGAGGATCGGACTCACTATTCACTACTAAATGTTTTAGTGAGACAAGCTTTCTAACTATTACACCACGCTGAGATGCCCAACTAGCTGTTATACTACAAGGTGCAGCAGAAATACCTCCCATATATTCCTCCCACATAATGGTATGACCGTAGGAGGTATTTCTGGCAAATATATGTAAGAGGTATCTCTGCTCACCCTGTATACAAAAAAAAATAAATTATAGTTCATTTAGCACTCGATTTTTTGTTTTATTTCTTGGGTTAGATGTTTCAAACGCCAAGTAAATCCGACATTTTTGACTATTTTGTTTTACAAATTCCAAGTTTTTCTGTTCACAATTTTGAACAGATTTTATCTATTGAAAAATGTGTAAGCAGAATCAGGACAAGTTAAGAAATCTAAGAGAGGCAATTCAGTGTTTAGTTTGTGTAATTTGTTTCGAATTTTAGCCCAAAATAACTTCCACTAGTTCAAATTATTTTTCCTAAACATTTACAAGTTTAAACCAAGCAATGTTAACGGATACCTGTTTTTTTTTTTTTTTTTTTTTTTTGGTTCTTAACTTAAAACGAAGAAAAAAGAGTTTGACTTAAAATTTCTACAAGGAAATGTTGAAATGTTTTCGACCTAATCAAGAATGCATTGACTGAGAATAATGATATATATGGCAAACATGGATAAACATGCCCACAATAAGATGGGGTGTCAAAAGAAGGGTTTTTTTTACCATGACACCGTTTTTTGTTTTTGTTTTTCGACTAAATTCACTCTTTCTTAATGTTTATTATTTTGAAAGCAGTGATTAGAATTGTAATAAAAATCTAATCATGTGAAAGTGAATTTATACATTTTCTTTGTTCATCAGAATTGACAACAAAAATAAACATTATTTATTAGATTGTTTATTTACACTATTTATTTATTTTATTACTCATTATAATTCTGTTATGTCCATGAAATAGCCATGTTATTATATCATGGATATAATACTGCCTGAAATGGGAGAAAAAATAAATGGGAGAATAAATCTTTCTTCCTTAGCTCTACCTTGTTACACCACCAATACCATGACTCTATTCTCTTCATATAATGGCGGGTAAGTGTTGGATGTTTGTTCATCAGATGACAATTAATATTTGGTTTAGGGTCAGAAAAAATCATTTCTGTCACAAAGTTAACTTAGATAAAAAAAAATCAACAATGAATCTGATTTAATAAAAATATATGAAAAAAAACCCTGCAATGTCTAAAACTAAATTAGAATTTATATCTCTTTATAATAGAGTTAGATAAATATAAAATAAAGTATAAATTGGTACGTTGAAAAATGTCTTCTTGGACTTCACAAAAGAACAACATTATTTTTAACAGCCTATGTTATGGGTGATTGGTCAAGTTTTGGAACAATTTAAAGTTCAAGAACAAATATTCAGAAAACTTTTCTTAAAGACAAAGTGTCAAAAGGATATTTTTTCCATGACTCCGTTTTTTACCTACTTTCACTCTTAAGCAATTTATTTTGTTTTAAAAAGTGATGATTAGAAGTGTTATAATACCTAAACATATAAAAGTGAATTTATATATTTTCTTTGTTCTTAAGAATAGACAATAAAAAAAAACTCTGTTTTATTTGGAATTCCTCAGTCCTTACTGTCTACCCTTGTCAGTGTTCAAAAGGTGATTATACGGCCTTGTAGGTGATGAAGTATTTTCCAGCTTGCAACCTCTATCACACAAACGAAATGTTGCTAGTCTCTCACTACTTATCCCTATTACTATATAAACAATTTTCAAGCGAACTATATTCTTTAGTTCCACCAGTTGAGACTTTTACAGCTAGGACCTGTCATGCCAGATACATAAGGTCACATTATTTACATTCCTCTTGTATCCTACTTATAAGGATGAATCTTCTAGAACAAACAGCCGAAATAATGCTTCCTCACTCAATGCGATCTGGACCTCTTCAAATCTAGGACCAACCGCTTGTCTATCCTCCATATCCTACTAATATACCTTTCTTCCTTTGCTCCATTTACGCCCTTACGACAATCTCATCCAGTAATCCAATACGTTTAATGGGTCTTCGGTCTTGTAATGGGTGAAAAGCAGTATAAAAGAAATAATAAAAGAAAATAAACGGTGATTATAATATAGTCTGCTAAAATCTTTCGTCTTGAATTTCTTCAGTCGTCGAGTGATGCAACTGCATAATCCGTTGTCAGATCTCTTAATCACAGTGGTGTAAATGTGTTTCATTAAAACGGAAGCTGAGACCCGATATGCCTTACAAAAAAGTATCAGGAGATCGCTTAAAATACTACAGATTCAACTTTTCGACATAGCTTCAATATTCTAATATTTTGATGTCTGCCCACGTAGCTAACAGCGGCTGCATATCGAACTGCTTATAAATTATAAACCCAATGTGTTTCCTGGATAACTTTAACGTCTCAACAATTCTTTTGGTTGATATTTGTCGATATTCAAGAATTATATAATGAACTGAGAATGGTCACATATTTCACGACCTGACACTGTCTAAGATCTCTTCACGCTGGAAAATCACACACAGTTTCTTCACAGTTCAAACTGATTGACATTTATCAACCAATGTTTGCATCATTCATTCATGGATTTCCTTTGAAGTTTTCTTCGTCAGAAACAGGGACGTCATGACGGTTTTTTCATTTGAAAAACCATTTATTTTTCACTGAAATCGTTCAGTCAATCACCTGAAAAATATTCATAAATAAATGAAAACCCCTGCAAATTTGTAATTCACATTATTATTAACCTTTTAGCACTTCCATGTAAAAATATTCTAATACTTCTACAGACATCAGGATCCCATTTCAGTGTTATTCAATTTGGGTTTTTTTTAAGTGTTTTACCCCAAGCAAGGCGGGAAGCCACTTGCACGCAATGGATTACAGAGTGTTGGAGCGAGATCAAATAGGAGTGATAGAGGAAAGGATGATGAGAAGGATAGGGGATAGATCAGGGCATCTGGAGTCGTCGATTGACATTACATTTGAATAGTTGGAGATTATAGCTATCAGGGAAACAAGAAAAGGGGAGGGAGTTACACAGGCGAGAGGTGCGAGACATGAAGCTATTGGAGTAGAAGAGACGGTTACATTTAACAGTTTCGATAGTGAAAGGGTGTAGGCGAGATGCCAGCCCAGTTGAACGCTTAAATTCATAAAGTCTGGGAACCAGCAAAAGCAGCTCATCGGAGCAATTACCATGAGAGTATTTGTAAAAAAGACAGAGGGAGACGACGGCACGTCTGTGAGAGAGCAACTGCAGACGAGATGTCAGAACCGGGCCAATTACATTGCATATCCATCTCTGGTTCTTATCAAGACCCTTGAGACAAACAGAAGGGGCACCAGACCATATATAGCAGCAATACTCCATGCAAGGGCGAATCGTTGATTTTTAGATTTGAAGGATCGACTCCGGCGAGAAAAAAGTCTTGGCGCGGCATAAGTTGCCAATTTTCCTTGCGGTGGACGAACGTATTGGCTCAATGTATTTGTTCCATCTCAGGTCAGCAGTCAACGTGAGACCTAGTAGTCGCAAAGGAGAACTCTCGTTGAGTTGAACGTCAGACATTCTAATATGGGGGAAGGATGGCTTGTTGCTACAGCGTTTATGTAGATTAATTTTTCAGCCTTCCTTTGGTGTATCAACCTAAGAAAAATTTTCTCTCTTTTCCATTACAAGCAAAACCCGTCATGCCATGGTTCACAGAAGAACCATTATGATTTCCTTCGTATTTCATTGGTAAGAAGTACTATTCGCATTATATGGAGCCGATACATATTACAGCACAACTCACATTTAGAACTATACTGAAAGAAATACTAATCCAAAATTAACAATGTTTGACAATGCCCTCATCTAATAATAAAATACAACTATATGAAAATTGAGTATAATATTAAAAATCAAGGCCATAAACTGAAGTCAAGAAAGAAATACGAGTCGAAAAATAAATTAATGGTCAACAATGTTTCATATGATAATAATAAAAATGACGATAATATTGCTGAAATTTGAAATGTTAATAACTAAAATCATTTTTTGTTTCTCTTTTTATAGGTGCTCTGTGTGAGGCGTGTCAAATTCCAGATTTGATGTTCAAAATAATCTTTTGGCTTGGCTACTGTAACTCAACAATGAACCCCGTCATCTACGCGTGCTCCAGTAAGGAATTCAAGCGAGCCTTCAAGAGGATTTTACAGTGCCAACTCCGAAGGCGACCGCGCTCGTTCCTGCAAGAGACATGCGCGGCGTCTTCCGTGGCCGAGCTGCATACGACGCCTACCACGCGTCATATCGTTCGAAGCTTCTCGAGAAAGTTCAGGAAGCAGCAAATGACGCTCCGGAAGAAAGCCGAGAACTCACTCAAGAGAAGCGGCTCTCTGCGCGGGAAGACCCTCTTCCGTCAGCGCCTGACGGAAGAATCACCGCTAAAGGACGACCTTTGCCCTGAGTCGCCAATCCCTTCCCTTCGACTGTTTCACAAGAAGCGGAAAGAAATGAGTGAACTCAGCCTCCGCCAGGCGGCAGTGGCGGCCACGGTGGCGGCTTCAGAAGGGGAGGACGACGTAGAGGAGGAGGAAGAAGAAGAGGAAGAAGAGGAGGAACGTGCCTATCAGCACAGCGATTATATTTCGTCAGAGGACGAAAAGTCAGATAATCTTGACGAGGTGCTGACGGACTTGACGGAAAGCGTGCACGCGAGCAAGCTCTACAACAACGGAAGTCGCTTCTCGGACAACGAGGAGTATATCAACGCCGTTCTGTCAAAACGGCGCGAACAGTTGGCCAGACCCTTCCGCTTGGAAAACACTTTTGTCGTGCCGAAAATCGTCATCCAATGGGACTCGGATTCTGACGGCAGCAAAATAGAAGACCTTCGAAGTACGGCCTACTCGACGAAAAATGTGACTGGCAGGACAGAAGTATAGTACATTCTTACACACACACGCACATACACAAACACGAACACACACTTACGTCTTTCTCCCCTCCTCTCTCTAACTTATTCTTCAATCTCTCATCTACCTTCCAACCAACTCCTCACCTTACTTCTCACACACAATCTGTCTCCCATTTTTCTTCTCCAAACACTAACATGGCTTTCTCAGTAGCATCTATGTGTATATACCAATGTCACACACACACACACACACACACACACACACACACACACACACACATACAAACAAACACGAACACACACTTACGTCTTTCTCCCTCCTCTCTCTAACTTATTCTTCAATCTCTCATCTACCTTCCAACCAACTCCAACCTTCTTCTCACACACCCCATTTTCTTCTCCAAACACTAAATCTGTCTCCCTATGTGTTTTACCAATGTCACACACACATACACACACACACACATACACACACACACACACACACGCACATACACAAACACGAACACACTTTCTAACTTATTCTTCAAGCATCTACCTTCCAACCAACTGTATATACCAATCTGTCTCCCATTTTTCTTCTCCAAACACTAACACACTCACAGCATCTATATATATACCAATACATATACATATATATATATATATATATATATATATATATATATATATATATATATATATATTGTGTATATTTAGGCAGCAATTTTTCATTAATGAATGTTTCATTAAATAATATAGACAAGTTTTGTCTATTTATTTTAAGTAAGTTCCTTTCATATTGTCTGATAAGTTTAATAACATTATCGTTGAAAGACGAATGGAAAACACCATATTGATACATGTTTAAATCCAAGCTAAGCTTTCGGCTTTATTGAAATTGTCATCTTTGATAATGGCTTGTGTAAGCCAAAAGCTTAGATACGATTTAAACATGTATCAATATGGTGTTTACCTTTCGTCTTTCAACGATAATGTTATTAAGCTTATCAGACAATATGAAAAGAATTTACTTAAAATAAATAAATAAAACTTGTCTATATTATTTAATGAAACATGCATTAATTAATATATATATATATATATATATATATATATATATATATATATATATATATATATATTACAAAGGTTTTGATCCATCCTCTGGATTTAATAATTAGTAAGTTTCATTTGGTTTAGGTTTAATTGATTCCTACTAAGTTATCATGCTGACGCCCAATCTTTTAGAGAGGAGGTTACCTAAATTTTTAAATCATGCAACCCTAACATTACCATTAGCCAAGGAGATTAGACAAAAGATTTTTAAATGTAAGGAAGCTTTACGCAGTAGTAGTCGCTATTATTATTTTTTTTATTTCCTTTGATTTCTGGCTGGTACACATTTCTTTCCGGGTCCCGCCCAGACAACTAAGGTTAAAAATGGCATCGTGACACTTTCCACTGACAAAAAAATATTTTACATAGATAAATCCCTACGTAAAGTGTCGGCTGTACTTGTAAGGACATTATTATTATTATTATTATTATTATTATTATTATTATTATTATTGAATATGTATGGTAAAACCCTTCAAGACCTGAAAATCCCTCTGACCGAGACGAGAGCTAGTAAATTATTTTAAAAACAAGGCACGCAATTTTCAGTTTTAAGAGAATTCTTCGAAATCCAAAGTATGGCCCCAAATATTTGTCCTATAATAACATTAGGTAACATAATTCGAGGGGTCGACACTTCGGGCTGAACTTGCCCTTTTTTAGGGGACAACGAAGAGTTATTGATTGAAGATGACAAACAACTGGGTTACTTTATAACAGGAGAAGGGAAGCGTCGTTGACCTCACTGCCTTCTTCACCAGCGACTATTATCTGTGGCATATCAGTGACAAGACTGTTATCAAGACACCCAGTGATAAGAACACACATACATACACCAACTTACCCAGAATTTTAGGTTACCCGATTCTGTTCTCGTTACTATTAACCATTTACACATTTCTAATGTACACATACATTCTCAAAACTGGCTACCAATTTGTGTATATCTTCAAGCGTATACTTGTACGCGCGCATGCGTCAGTGCGCTTAGTTATTTATATGATGTGCTGAAAAATTCTACGTTCTAACAGGAATTCTTTCCTTAAAAATCTTTAGTTTTTGTCATTTGGGGATGTGGGCCTGGCTGAGGTTTTTTCAGGACCCTATTGTATTTACACTTATGGTAGTTTATATACCGATTGCAACATGCGTGTAATCTTATATACAGCAACCTCACTTAATTTAACACTTGAATACGCAATAGAAATTATATTTTTATCTGTGTCATTCTTTTAACATAATTAAAATCGAAATATATTTCAAACATTTTAAATTATATATAGAATATGAGAATGGATTAACAAGTTGACCTCCAGAGGTCAATTACGACTTCAAACACCAACATAGGCAATAAACATAGGCAATAAAACAATGATGATTTGATTTATAGCTTCAACTAAAGTCTTAACATTGTTTTCACACTAGAAGTATCAGTGTGAATAAACTTATTGTTGGCGCCCGCAGATGAAAATGTATCAGAAAATGCCATGCACGAGATAACTCGTAATCGGAACGAGATAACTCGTTGTCAGCGTCATAATAAAACGTGCCATCTTCGTGACTTGCACTCAATGTCTTAAATATAGTAAAACATTTTAATTAATATTTATTGTCTTAGATATCATCACTTAGTTCAAAGACGAAATAAGCCATTAGATGAAAATTTAGGAATTTATGAGGATGTGCAGGTGGTGTAATGATGAGAGGCTCAGAACGAGAAATCGTCGAGCCGAGTTCATTTCCAGTTGTGATCGTTATATTCAATTTCGAACAGATACCCTTGAGAAAGCTATGAATCAATCTTTCTTATCAGTTAAATAACAAAGCAGACTGAACTCTCTAACTGTGGTAAGCGGATGGAATAATTTGAATTCAAAAGTATATGTAGCCTTGACGTTTATATTGCAACTATTGAAACACTTGGTCCTGATGAGCAACCAAACTGAAGATAATAAATCTCCCTCGAAATAACAAATGGAAAAAGATCATCTGATGATGTAGAACAGTGGCTTTTGAAAATAGACGTGTGAAAGGTGATGATTGCAATGTCAAGATTTTAAGCATAAGTGAGGATTATTTCGATTGACCCCAAATAATGAATAGATAGGTAAAAATTTTCTGGGATAAAGAGTTATCATTATATATATATATATATATATATATATATATATATATATATATATATATATATATATATATATATATATTATATACTATATATCTTCATCTTTCTTTTGTTGTTGTTACAAAGTTGCGGCCATTGTGTCCCCTAGCTTTCCTCAGGTTCTGCCTTCCGACCATCCTCAGGTGTATATCGTCCGAAACGTTTTGATAACAACAACAAAGATGCGGACAAAAGTCCGAATATAAATAAAGTAAATAATGATATATAATAAACTTTAGAAAAAAAAATGAATATGAAGCAGTAAGCAATGTAATTACTTTAAAGTAGTATATCACAGTGGTCGATACCCAAGAACGTAGTCATACTGAATATATCCAAACGTCTGTTTCTGTCTAAGAAAAACAATAGTCTGCATATATTTAATTTACATCAATACAATAATTTCTTTAAAAAAACGAACGAAAGAAATCAAAGAGTTAGCTCCTCACACACTTCAGGCTTCATCTCCTCCATTGCACTTATAATGGGTGATTTAAGGTCAAATCCTGATGCCTGAAACGTCCCCTCAAAAAAAGTGTGGTGCTAAGAAAAACAGAGAATTTCTTATCCCCCTACCACCCCTTGTCGACTTTTGCTGAACCAAACCGTAATAGTAATTATATATATATATTTACATATATTATATATATATATATATATATATATATATATATATATATATATATATATATATATATATATATATATATATATATATATATATATATATATATATATATATATATATATATATATATATATATATATATATATATATATATATATATATATATATATATATATATATATATATATATATATATATATATATATATATATAAATATATATATATATATATATATATATTAAATATATATATATATATATATATATATATATATATATATATATATATATATATATATATATATATATATATATATATATTTTATTATATATAAGAATGACATTCAACTACAGTGTCCCTAATGTATTTGACGGCGGTATTTTGATATTAATATTACGTGTCGTCTCAATATATGGATGTGACAAAAACGATGGTCGGATGCCCATTGACTGTTAAGAGGTGTCAATATAGATAAATCCATCGATTAATCCATTTTCGATTAGTGCACTAACATTTTTATACTAAAATGCGATTAATGCATGCATAATACTCGATTAGTGCGTTAAAACATTCTTCAGTTTAACCATACTAATTGAAAATTGACTTTTTTATATTTACCGATTATTTTAAAACTTTCTAAAATTTAAGAATGGAAAATGGGTAATGAATTTGTTTGTCAAGTATTACGTTATCTAACTAATATAAATAGTGTTAAAATATGGTTGGTTATAAGTACATAAATTTTATGATATAAACCGATAATAAAAATATATATTTGAATATTTGTCTCTTTTTAAAAAATATTTAATATTTTGATTTTCTTCATGTTTATTTTGAAGGTCTTAAAAGGAAACTTTATGGCTTTTTGTTAGAAAAATTGAAGATTTAATTAGACATAGAAATGTACATTTAGTAAAAATATCGAAATATAAAAGATGACTGCATTTACTATTGAAAAATTATAAATAAATTATTCAGCTTGAAATACTAATGATTATTTGCTTGAACAATTTGAAAGGACATTTCTCAGTAGCACCAATTATATGAAAAACAGAAAAATGTCATACGGCAAACCACTCTAAGTAAGTTTTTCATAAAAAATCAGATTAATAAACATTATTTCATAGCATTTTATTG